TGTGGCAAGAAAGGTCACTGGGCGAGAGATTGCTGGAGACCAGCAAAGCAGGCATCAGCTGTTCAGGAGCAGACTGACTCAGGAGTGTCTTCTGGAAGCCAAGTCCAGGCTCCGAATCCGAAAGCAACGGCAACTCAGCCAACCACGAAGGGAGATGTTGGCAAGGGCCAGCGCCAGAGCCAGCAGAAAGGCGTTAGGACATTCCTTGAGGGATCCTATTTTGCCATGTCGAACTTTGCGGTTGACAGTTTTGCGATGCCAGCAGTCTCAGCAAGCGGTGTTAAGCATGAGGAAGGAGTTTTCTGGTTGCTTGACTCTGGAAGCTCTTACCATGTGATCAGCCGAGAGACCTTGGATTGTGGCCATGTGAAGGTACTATCCCGACGACAGAAACCAAGGACAGTTTGCCAAACTGCGACTGGCGATCTCGTCGAGGTTGGAAGCGACATGCATGCGACAGTTGAGGTCAGTTTTCTGACGACGCATCCGATTTCCGCCAATGGCGGACACAGACAAGATGTTCTGAGCAATTATGCATGCACGTGTAGGCTAGAAGCCGTAGTGAGTGATCAGATAAAGCATAACTTGATCAATCTCAACTTGCTATGCTGGAAGGGTTGGAAGCCTACTTTACACAAAGGCCTCCTGACAGCAGAGCAACAGGGAGTAGTTTTGCTGCCTCACCTCTACGGTGACTGCACTTGGCTTGAATCAGTTGCCCCCGAACATCCTTCAGCTTTGTATGCTGGTGAGTTGATGTCGTCCGTTGTCGGTCAGTCGGTTGGTCGGTCAGTTGCAGGCTTGGTCGGTCGTCCCGAGAAGCGTGTCAGTTTTCAATCCGATTCCGATGTACCGAAAGAAGAGGAAGTTTTTCCGGAAAGTTTTCAAGATTTGCAGCCACAGCATGTTTTTGGCAGACATGTGCATGACCATGATGTTTTGGCTGACTATGTTGAACATGTTGTTGATCTGCGCTTGGTGGGGCAGGTAGGCAGTCAGTTGGCAAGCATGTCTGAATTGCAAGAGCAGACCATGTTGGCTAGGCAGTCGGTAAGTAGTGATGAAGAGCGTTGTGCGGTAGGTCAGGGCAGTTTGTTGACAGGTCAGTCAGTTGTGTTCACCAAGGAACCACCGACTAAGGAGCACTTAGGTTGCACCGAGGACCCGCAGCATGCATGTCCAGTAGCTTCAGGGACCCCGCAGCGTTTTTCTTTGCACCACGACTCTGCAGAGCACCTTCCAGGACCGACGGTGCAAGCGTTTGCAAGTGTAGGACCAGCAGTTTCAAGCCCAGCTACAGCTTCTGTCAGCAGTGTGGGAGAGCTAAGTAATCGGCATGTGCATGTCAATCCAGTTCCGGTTGTTGAGCATGTTGGTTGTGAGCGTGGCTTGTTGGTTGGTCAGTCGGGTGGTTGGTTGGAGCTTGATTCCGGCACCTTATGCTCGAGGCAAAATAAGGACTTCCTAGGTCCTACTGCCAATGGGCAACAGCAGCTTGGAGCCTGTAGAGGCAGTGGACATGGAGCCCACCCAGACGGGAG